CTTACAACACCTGGTATTCCTAAGCGGTAAACCATCTAGGTACTGACCAGACACGACATTGCTTAACTTCGGTGATCGTACGGGAACCAGTATTAGTTCCAGTAACCAGTATCAACGTGATGTGGCCGTAAGCATCCTACGAAGAGTTGTCCTTTTAAATTTCATTTTTTTTGAGGTGGGGGGTAATAGCTATCTGTTTAATTCGAGTGGAGACAACAAAAAAATAACATACTTCGTTTGACCAAGGTCATTGGTTAAGACCATGCATGTAACTATAAAACAAATGCAGGTCAATACTACTACTACTACTACTAATAATAATAATTGCTGTCTTTTGTTTAATTAAGTGGAAACAATAAAAAATCACATCCTTCGCTTGCCCTTGGTCGTTAGTTATGGCCGTGCATGTGATAATAAAACAAATGCAGACCAAAAAAGAATTTACTTTAAAGATAATAATAATAATATAAAAACGAAAAAACAATAAATACGCTCCCCACCACAGCCAAAAAAGAAAAGTATAATTGGTACTTCACACTTGTATGAATTGTTGTGTACCATATAATTGTGCTTACACAATTATAAAAAAAATCATCACGGTACCATGCGTATTTGGTACGGTAGCCATTTTTTTTCCAATAATTTTCTTCGCAACACGATTATTTCGCTCCAGTTTATTAAATTCATATTTTTACTTTAGAAGCAGAAATATTCCTGCCAGCATACCTATTCCATACAGCACTGTTATTTATTTATTTATTTTTTGTTGCTTTTTTTTTTACAATAAAGTTCACCCTGTACAGAGCCCGGAAGCCACTTGAGGCAGACGGTTACGATAAGAGGCAAGTTTATACGAATAGAAGATAACAGTTAACACTAGATTTGAACAGATTAAGATTGTAGTGACCGGGAAAATATCTTCTAGGGAATCGGTTCCGCTGAGCAGTAGTTTGTGGGAAGAAGCTGTTCGAGTGGAACTTACATCTCACCGATGGAATATGAAGGTCATGTAGGTGGTTTGCTACTACGTAAGTGACATGGCGGGTCTTAGGGAAAAGGAGGAACAAAGGAATGTTCTTCCGAACACCTTCCATGGAAGTAGCGATATGGCAGTGCGATAAACCTGTAAAATGTTGAATTTCTTTAATTATACTTAAAATTATGCAGAAAATAGAGGTTAAATGTTAATGGAACAGTGTGTTTCTCGTTACGTTTTGTTATTTGATTAAATTTTCACTATAATTTTATAATAACCGATCCCATTGTCTGTACAAACATTAGGGTATTTCATGTGTATTAAATCCTGCTAAATAGTAAATTTAATTAAAGATTAACTGGTGTATTTAATTAACTTTTTTTAATTTTATAAATAATACATTGAATCAATAGCATCATCTACCGCAAGGAAAGTTGCTTCTCTGTGTCACGCCAGAAAGTTGTTCTCGCCTGAGTTCATCATTCAAATCTATAAATCAACCATTCGCCCTTGCATGGAATACTGCTGCCATATATGTTCTGGAGCCCCCTCGGTTTGTCTTATGGTCCTCAACAAAATCCAGAGACGGATATGCAATGTGATTGGCCCTGATCTGGCATCTCGTCTACAGTCGCTCTCTCACCGACGTGCTGTCGTTTCCTCTGTTTATTCTATAAATACTTTCACGGTAACTGCTCCGACAAGCTACTTTCGCTTGTTCCCAAACTGCATGAATTTAAGCGTGCTACTAGGTTGGCACTTCAGTCCCACCCTTTCACTTTCGAAACGGTTAAATGTAACCGTTTCTTCTACTCCAATAGCTTCATGTCTCGCACGTCCGGTCTGTGGAACTCCCTTCCTCTTACTGCTTCCCTGATTGTTATAATATCCAAATATTCAAATGCAGTGTCAATCGACATCTCCAGATGCCTTGATCTATTCCTCGTGCTTCTGTTCATCATTTCCTCTGTCACACCTCTTTACTCTTGCTCCCACTCTCTGTAACCCCTTGAGTGCTAGCGACACTTCGGCCTTGTTTGGGGTGAAAAGCTTAAAATATACAAGTGGACCCGTCCCGTCAAAATTATTGGCAATTGTTAGAAAGTTTTAAAATTGAAATGCAATGCAAGAAAAGGTGAAGAAAAAATATACTGAGGTTCAATAAAACGGAGTGTATACATCTAGGAGGCCCATGGACATTTAATTAATCAGTTCCCTTATTACTACATAAATATATTTTCTTGTTATATAGCATTTATTGCATAACAGATCTACCATGTATTACGTTTTATTAAATAACGAAGGTTCAGAATTGATACCTTAAGCAGAAGCCATTGAAACGTTGACATAATTAGCTCCCTTTCATGTTACGTTTCTTTTAATCTTGTAAGCCCCACCTACCAAAAAAAAAAAAAAAAAAAAAATATATATATATATATATAAATAAATAAAAAATAATGAAAGCACACCACCACCTAAATATATTGTAAACGGTGTTTGAGTTGTCATTTATTTTCATCTTTCTTTTCTTTGTTAGCTTGCAATAAGCTTTTCTCGGATTTCGAAAGGGTTTTCTCGGTTGTCTATTAAACTGCTAAAATAGAAACAGAGCCTTACAACTCTCAGAAGTCATTTAAGGACTAACAACTTAAACGGAAGTTACCGATGAACTATTTAGTCTATTAATTGCTTTATCATTACGATTCATGCGAAGGTCTTGTTTTGAAGAAGACTGCCGTTGTTGTCTTTATTTTCGATGCTTCTTTTGAGGAGGATTTCTTTGTTCTGCTGTTCATAAGCAAACAATAGAGTTGGTAAATAGACTTCAACATGAGATAATGTTTCACCTTGAGACTTGTTAACAGAATTACATAGAGGGTGACACAAAAGATATAAATAAATAAGAAACGGCAATTATTATATAGGCTTGATTTTTTACAAAATATTGTTGATGACTTACTTTTTTTTTCAGTCAAAAAGCGATAAAAGTGATAAGGCGATAATGCTACTAATACGTAAGGAGCTCCTGGGAGGGAAAGAGAATGAAAAGACTTTGGAAGGCACCAGAAATCCAATTCTAAACAGGCAACATGAAATACACTTCTACTCCTGTTCAAAAGACATGGGAGAAGTGTGAACCGGACAATAAGTGAACCTATCTACTCCCATTAAATTTACATTTACTACTATTTACAAAAAATTATTAAACACTTGAAATGATAGTCGATTTCTGTACGATTACAGTTTATATATATACATATATTTTAGTTGAGGTAGACAGCTATTTAAATAGAATGTGATTCTATAAATTAATTAAAATTCTCATAGACACACACACACACACACACACACACACACACTCTCTCTCTCTCTCTCTCTCGCACACACACACATATATATATATTATAATAAAGAGAAAAGAACAGTAAGATATATAATTCGGTGTTCTTATTAATATTTTCATATTTACAAAACAGTGCCTAATGTAAATCTATCGTCTATTTAATTTATATACAGCATCTATAAACTGGGGCATCTTGGGAATGGAAACCAAGCATAATCAAGATATCCCTTTACACTTCATAATAATGCTTATATATATAATCTTAGAGTATTTTTTATATCAAATTTAATAAATTTTGTGTACATACAGATACAGGAAAGTACGCTAGTCATGTAGTGCTCACACGGATTTTTATGAGGTGAAATTAAGATTTCACGTAAACGTGTATAAAAACATGATCACTACTTTTTCACATTTTGAATAATATCTTTATTGAGCACGAAACCTGGTAAGTAATCCACGAACGGAGGTGTTGCTGTGACGATCGCTAGCAAAAAAACTGGCACAAACATAAGCTACGTAGCTGAGATAGGGCAGATGAAGTCACTTACAACAGCTGCACATCATCTAGGAACATTTCCAGTGCTTTCTGAAAATTTCCTTTTGTGTCAAGTCTTGTCATTACCTGAAAAACCTTCTGCTTTGAGAGGTTTTAGGGTAAATATTTAACCCCCAAACTGGGGTCAAAACTCTATGAAAGTGTAAATATAGGTTTTAGTACCAGAAATACTTTGTAAAAAATTATTACTACCAATAAATTTTTGAGGAAAAATTATTATCAGCACTACATTACCAGCTATGCATTTTTGAAAAAAAAAATTAGCAGGTATACATTTAGAAAAATACCAGAAATACATTTTTGAGAAAAAAAATTTACCAGCAATAAAAATCTTGTTGGCATTAAATAACCCATATGCCGTAAAACAAAACAAACCAATCAAACGTTATTTTTAGTTGTTAACCGTGTTTGAGTAGACTCTCCGTTATACTTTAAGCAGTATGCATTTCATCTACTGACCTGTACACACGAGAAAACATATTAAAGGAAATGTGCACTCCGGTAGGATTCGAATATGCGCACTCCTTTACATGAGAAACAACCGTTTGATTGGCTACAAAGAGATTCACAATCAAGAAAAGTTCCACTAGAAATAACGATGGAAATAACAAAAAAATAAGTCGATTTAAAAAAAAAAATCCATTAGTTCTTTAGAAATTGCTTTGTTTAATTTTCGGATACGCAACTGAGCAAATATGGATAGTGAGAAAATTTGAACGAGGGAGGCAAATAGAACCTTGCTTCATTGTGAAACTCTTTGTAGCCGAGCGGTTAAATCACGCCTGATCAGACGGTGGCTTCTCTTGCAACGGAGTGTGCAGGCCAGTAGACAAAATACTGTTGAAAATAAAAAGGAGCATCTACACAAATACGGATATTCACTAAAAATAACGTTTAAAAACACACACACACACACACACACACACACACACACACACACACACACACACACACACACTTATATATATATATGTGTGTGTGTGTGTGTGCGTGGGAAATGTGTATGTATATAAATATAAATATATACATATATGTGTGTGTGTGAATGTGTGTGTGTATATATATATATATATATATATATATATATATATATATATATATATATATATACATTTAATACACACACACACACACATATATATATATATAAGCAATTTTTATATATATTATTATTATATATTATATATTCTCGGTACTTATTGGAAAGCGCTCAAA